ATAAGACATTTAAGCAACACCACTATATAGGTCAAGTATGGAAAATGCTACAGAGTATGAGTGAAAGAGGGAAAAAGGGAAAGCAAATTCCAGTGTTGATTGAGAAGGATATAATTGCTATATCAGACATAGAAAAAGCAAATATGTTAGGAAAGGTTTGAGAAGGATTACATAGTTTAGAATTGGGTGAATAATACGAAGAAAGAAGAAATGAATTTTTGGAAATCAATTCTGATATTATGCAAGAGAGAAGGAACGGAAACAGTAGCATGGATATGGATTTTACAGTTTCAGAACAAAAAATAGCACTGCAGAAATGTGCAAATACTGTCCCAGGATGTGACAGGGTGAGTTACATAATGTTTAAACAGCTTTCAGGTAATGTTATTTTATTGATACTCAAATTATACCATAAAATATGGAGAGAAGGAATAATTCCAAAAACTTGGAATCAAGCAATTGTAATTCCAATCTTAAAGCCAGCGAAAGATCCAACAAATCCTGAAGGTTATCGACCAATAGCATTGACATCTTATTTATGCAAATTAATGGAGAAAACAATAGTTCAAAGGGTAAATTATGACTTAGAGAAAATGAATAGATAGAGCAAATATCAGTGTGGCTTTAGAAGTCTTTTTTTTTTTAATGCAGTGAATGGCATTCCATGAGGAAGTGCTATCAGTCCAATACTTTTTAATGTTATGATAACTTATATTTTTGATAATTTAAGCAATTGTAATTCCGTAATTGTAATTGTAGTTAATTCGAAGCTTCGAAATGGTTTGTTTCCCCATCACTAGTAGGAAATATACTGCTGAAAGAAACGAGTTGAAGGACGAACAAGAGAATAAGGGTGAGCAGTTTACAATTAAGAATTTATTAACCCATTTAAGCCCGCCGGCATATAGTTGCCGCAGTTTATGGTTGTCATTTTCCTTTTGTAAGTATTTTTCTAGATGCTATCCATGTTTTATTTCTCAATGACATGCAAGCAAACAACCAAATAAAGGATTTCAAGAGAAAAAAAAAAAGGTATTCACTTCCTTCCTGTCACATGAGGCTGTCAAGTTCCTACCCCTACTTCCAGGAATTGCTGTAGATTATATTTTTCTCCCTTTTATGACATGATGTCTTGTAAGGGGCAAAATATTGAGGACCCTTTATCCAGTTTGGATGCGTTTCATTTCGAACGCATCCAATTAATTTCATTTCATTCGTTTTCATTCCATGCGTTTCAAGGACCTTAATTCATTTTATAACTAGTAGCTTATGATTCCATTGTAATGTTGAAATTCAGACAAGTAATGCGTTTACATTTACATTATTATATGAAATCACTACAGTCAGCCATTGAATACGATGGGCCTAAAAAAAAGCTTAATTTTCTTTCAGGTATACCTTTTTTTATTATATAGATGTAATATTTTCTTCAGTCTATTTATTTTTATTTATATATTTTCATTTAACTAACACACCTCTAAGAATGAAAATACCTGCATGTTCAATAATAAGTAAATAAACAAACAAAATATTTAAATAATCATATATTTTAAAAAGAATATAATTCATTTCATGAATATAAAGGACTTTTGTCAGGGTTAATCCATTTGACCTAATCAATATGTGCCTATTCATAAAATATGTGATATTTTACATATTTACATCCCAAAGTATAGTATGTAAATATGTTTATGTAAATTTATAAAACTACTTGTACCTTCACTGCAGTATTCCTTGTAGGCTACTTATAATAAAACTGCTTACGTAAGGGAAAGGTCACCCAAAAATGGAAATTGTGTCATCATTTATTCACCCTCAAGTTGCAAACCTATAAGATTCTTTCTTCTGTTGAGCACAAAAGAAGATATTTTACAGAATGTTGGTAACCAAACAGTTACATGTGTAATTTTCTTTCAGGTATACCTTTTTTATTATATAGATGTAATATTTTCTTAATTCGATTTATTTTTATTTATTTATTTTCGTTTAACTTTTTGATATACAATACCCTGTTGGGGCAACTTAATGGCTGCACTTTGTTCTGCACTATGTTCTTTAAGACAAATGGGTTTGTTGTGTTATCATATTCAAGAGATTATAGGCTAAATGCAACCCTGCATTTTTGAGGGTTTGCATTGAATGTTCTTCGACTTTTGTGCATAATACATTTGTTTATGAATAAAGATTGTTCTGTTGAAAGCACCTATTTTGAGTTAGATGCCAAACACTCTCCGCCTATTCAAATTTGAAGGGGTGCATACAACATATTTGCCCACCGGCAAATAGTTGCCGCACATTCAAATACGAATTTCAAGAAAAAAAACTAAAACCTGGGGAAAATAAATGCAGAACCTGTGCACATAGGACACTATTAATATGACTATATGTATGAAACCATTCAGAAAAATTGGTTAAATCCAGAAAGACTCATTAAACCATTATTGTTACAATATTTGGGAAGTAGTGGTTTGCACAAGCGAGTATAATTTTTTTTTACATTTTTATCCAAATCCCGTTAAGAGGGCTGAGGGTGGACGGAGGAGCAGAACACGCAGCTCCCCTTACGAAAAAGAAGTTTATTTAAGTGTGCTATTAGTATACATTTTTTAAACTAAAAATAGGAAAGTATACTTTTAGTCTACTTTTTATGTACTTCTCATAAATATACTTAAAATGTCATTTAAGTATACTTGACTTATACTTAGAAAAAGTCTAAATATATTTTAGCTATAATTGTGCTCCTAGAATCCGTGTACAGAATTTCCAAAAAACACAAGTGAAGAAGAAACCAAAACAACAGATGCTTCCACATGTATTCTAACACGATCATCAGACATAAAACAGCATCAAAACAACAAGACCTCCTGCTTTCCCTGAGCCAATGGACACTCCAATAGGTGAAATATGTTTTTCAGGAAAAAAAGATAGAAACAATAAAGTTAGATCCTTGTTTATTGAAGATATTATCTCGATATCTCCTACAATCTTTTACTGGAATAATTTATTTAAAAATTTAAAATGGAAAAAGATTTGGTCTTTACAACAAAAATATGTTCTCACCAATAAAGTAAAAGAAGTGTCTTTTAAAATAATAAATACATTTTACCCTGTTAAATATTTTATGATTAAATATAAAACCAATATTGATACAAAATGCTAATTTTGCCAAGTTCACACAGAAACTATCTATCATTTATTTTGGTCATGTTTCTATACTGAACATCTATGGTAAAATATTGAAACATTTATTAAAGATAATATCCAACAAGATTTATCGGTTACTTTTAAAGATATTATTTTTGGACACTTTGATTCTGATTCTAATAAAAACAAAGCTTGTTTTGTTATAAATTTAATTTATTTTCTTGGCAAATTCTATATCCATAAATGTAAATTTACCAACAACAAACCAATTTTTCATGTTTTTTGTAAAGAATTTAAAATGTATCTTAATACTATTTCATCCTCTGTAAATAAGAAAGCGAGAAGAACAACTTCAATTTGTAATGACTTTAATTTGTATACTCTAATTATGACACTTTGTATCGCAGAACTTTATTGATGCGCATCACACGAACAGCGCCCTGTGACGTCGTTCACTGGAAACGAAATATGGCAAGCTGAATTAACATAAACCAAATTTTCTTGTTTTTTTTAAAGAATTTAAAATGTATCTTAATACTATTTCATCCTCTGTAAATAAGAAAGCGAGAAGAACAACTTCAATTTGTAATGACTTTAATTTGTATACTCTAATTGAAATATAAATTAATATCTTACCCTCATGTTTTTGTTTTTTTCCCCTTTCTTCCTATTTTTCTTTTTCTTTATCTTTTTCTTCTTTTTCTTTTGTTCTGCATGTTCAGATGACATTGTATATATTGTTGATAAATGTTGTGTACTCTATACAAAGTTGTATATCTTTAATGTCATCTTTGTGATGTTTGCATTCATAATAAAAAAAATAAAATAAAAAAAACAGTATCAAAACTGTGTAACGTTATGGAATAAGATGCCGACCAATGAAAAGGACTGTCAAGCTTTGGGGTGTTGATCGACTCCATCTACGTTTTGATTATCATTCTGAATCCAATTCATATTCTTTTTTCAGCTTTTTGTTCAAAATGTTGTTTATTTTTTTATTTATGAAACTTATCCACATTCAAGTGTTTAAAAAAAGAATGCATGAAGCTAGAATAAAATGATTTTGTTTACAAGCAGACACCCTGTTCTTTCTTTTAATGTTTTGCATGTTCAGATATTCATGTAACAAAATACATACACATTAATACCTAAATAGGGACATAGTAGTATACTTAAAGTATGATGTAAAGTTCACTTAAAGAAAACTTACGAGTATACTTGTAGTATAAAACTACTAAACTAGTAGTTTACTGAGACTATACTTCAAAGTGTACTAAAAATGCTACTACAAGTATTTTAGTAAACTATCAGTATACCTACAAGTTCACTTTTAGTATAGTTGCAGTACAAACTAAACATTTTGATGTAAACTAGTTGTGTACTCAAAGTTTACTACTGTTATACTTAAAGTATACTTTTATATACTGGAAAGTGGGCCAATTTAGTCCCAATGAGTATTGAAATAGTACACTTACAAGTATACTATTAGTACACTGATATTTGTATACTTACTACATAAAGTATACTTACAAATATACTTGAACTTTACTGAAGTATACTTCCTAAAATAAACTTGAAGTATACTACTTTTTGGTAAGGTTCCAGGTGTCCTGACATTTTATCCTACCCGTCAGATTGTCCTACCAGGGTTTACTGCGCATGCGCACATCAATATTGCGTCCTTTTTCTCACGCTGCTGAACAATATTTAATGTATCTGCATTACTGTAAGGGTAGGTTTAGGGTTGGGGTAGGTGTAGACGTTAATAAAACATAATTTTACAAGTAGCATTTTTCGTTGTCGAATTGTACTACCCACTGTTTTAATGGGAGGTAACAAAATCTGAGAACACCGGATGAAGCTCTATAAGAAAAGGATGTTTGGTCCATTTGAGAGAAAGGTGGGGTAATGCACTTATAAGTCTGCGATCCGCCGTAAAACAAGAAGACGAAGCAGTAGCAGAATGTGGTGGTTTATCTCCGATCGTAACAGAAGAGGTAACAATGCTGACGCATAGACAGTTTTGGTTTTCACTGGAGCTAATAAACACATGTCTTTAAATCTCTCGCGGCAGGAATCACGATTTGTACCCACTGTAAACTTTCTGTACTATATAAGTTAGTGGCTGTACGTACAATTCAGCAAAAACAGACAGATACGAAAGGTTTGTTTACCAGATGTAAAGGGGTACAACGTTGTTTCTTCCAATTCAGCTAAGTTAGTAGAAAGTAATTTAAGGTCGAAAAATCAGACCGTTCAAACCGAAAGTAAAAGTGTTTAGGAGTAGGCCTCAGTACAGTACTTCCATGTTTGATTATTTCAAAACATTTGAAATGAGTTTAGCATTTCATGGCTTTCAGTCAGGCTTTCACACTTTATATGCGGTGCATTGACGGCTAACAATAAGACTTGAGTATGTCTTTAACTTTAGTAGGCTGTACTAGCAGTCAGTGTTGGGCTCGTTACTCCGAGAATGTAATTTAGTACTCGTTACTAGTTACTCCTTTCAAAATTAATATTATTACTTTACTTATTACTTTCTGGCAACAGTAATTAGTTACACTACTAGTTACATTACTTTTCCTTCACGTCCCACAGTTGTAATTGTTTATCTTCCCCATAAAGTTCTTCTCAAATGTTACTAACTACATATTTCTGCCTCATCATTTGACCAAAATCTACATCGGATCGCAGTCAGAAGTTTTTTTTACAAACACTCAATGGTGATTGATAGTGACTTTTATGTAAAAGTGTTGTTGGCTATTAATTGTCATGTGGAGCTTGAAGCTAATTGTAGCTATCATTTCTCTGTTACCCATACATTATTATATTTCATTTAGTATTTTATCAAAATAAATCACATAAGTTTATAAGATTTTTAATTGTAGAAATATAATTTATATCGGGGTCAGAGGGATGTGGGTGGGCAAGCCATGTGATGCCAGAGTAAAGTAATGCCACAACTTACACATCTTTTCTCCTGACAAAATCAGTGTAATGGCAACATTTCCATCACCTGAATGTCAGCTTTTCCATATTCCAAGCTTTCCTGATGCACTGGTGACTTCGTGTGCCCGTGCGAGTCATGAAAATTATGAAAATAAATCTAGGAATTATTGGATTGTTGGATTTCAAATCAGTAGGAGTTGCGGCATAAAAAGTAACTAAGTAACAAGCTGTTTTATGGATGGTAACTGTAATATTATTAATCAAATCTTAATGGTAATTAGTTACACTACTAGTTACTCCAAAAAGTAATATTAGTAACTAGTTACTAGTAACTAGTTATTGCCCAACACTGCTAACAGTAGAAACAACCTACTTCTTGCATTGAATAAAAAAGTGAATAAATATAATGTTTTTCCAAAATGTTATAGTCCAGATAGTTGTCTGGTCATTTTTTTTAATGAATGAATACATTTTTGTCCAGAACATAACCAGTTTGCTTTGAAATTATGTGTGAATTCTTAATATTAATAACATTTTGCAGTTCACATTGAGTTTTTCATGTTTACGTACAGTATATTAAACAAATGTCTTTATTTACATTACATTGACAGGATTTTCACAAACATGTGTTTGTTTTACAATCTGCCACTCTTATTAGTTTCATTTTTGTATCTCATGTATAAATCGCTTGTTGCCAGAGTGTGCCGTGTACAACAATCCATTATTACATGAGAATAATCTCACTTTTTCTGTGTCAAAGGGTGAAACCAGATGAAGCTCCTCATGACTCTCATACCCATTTCTAACAAGCAATCCATCACTGAATCGAACGATTGTGTTCAAAATGGAACCTCTAGTCATATGGAAGAGAAGTATGACAATTTATATATATTTATATGTAGTGTGCTATTGGTGTAAGGGAAAAAATGGCAACTTATATCAATGACAATCTTGCATAGTTTCTTGTATATTGTTAAACCTGTTTTCTCTCCCTTTCTGAAAGTTTGAGATCAGATGAAACAACAGCTTCAGCACATTCATAGCCTTGCCTAAGCGTAATAAAGACTGAGTTTTAAAGCTACACTGTGTAACATTTGGCCATCTAGCAGTTGACGCATGAAACTGCAAATGACTTGCAGAGTAACATTGCTTTGGTAATTTTGTGAGACCAGTTTAGCCTTTGTTACGGGTGATTGTCTTATCAGAGAGAATGTCACTAACAACATCAACATCCACCCCTCCCTCACCAACGAAAAAGTAATTACTAAAAAATAAAAAAGGATGCACATGCCTTTCACCTACACTCTAAAAAATGCTGGGTTAAATACAACCCAGTGCTAGGTAAAATAGGGACAAACCCAGCAATTGGGCTGTTTTGACCCAGCAGTTGGGTTAAATGTTTAACCCAACCTTCTGGGTAGTAACCCAACCCAGCATTTTTAGAGTGTACAGTAGCCAGACCTTCTTTTCTTTATTCACAGACATAAAATCTGTAAAATGTTGTAAAATCGGTCCTGACAGCTCTAATATATAAATCATTACTGTAGGCTTACCATAGTGAGATGAGGTAAGACAAAAACACAGTTTGGACATTTTTATGTGCTCGCTCCTTAAGGACATTTTGTTTATTTCTAACAAAACAAAATGTACATGGTGTAGCTTTAAATACTAGACAAATTCTTGCTTATGAATTGATGTCCCTCAGAGTATTTAGAGGATATTTTGAAACATTAATTCCATTTAATGGCATTTCATGTACTTAACATATTATTTCAACTTTGTCTTCATGTACCAAAGGGTGAGACCAGATGAGTCACCATCTTCTGCACTCTCACTGCTGTCTATTAAAAGTTGATCAGTCAGTGGATAGACAGACTGCATTCAACAATGGAGCAAAGTTTCATGGGAGAGAAGTATGAAAATTTACTCTGTCAGGGGGTTAAAGATAGTGTGTGTGATGTATAATAAAGACAATTTATTATTTACAAAACCACTTGTTTGGCATCTCTTATGCAATATGTTAAGCTTGTTTTTCTCTCTTCCTAAAAGTTTAAAACCACATAAAGCTCCATCTCCAGCACACTTAATGCATTCTAGGTTGTTCAAATCCATAATGACCTATAACAATCCCATATTTTTCTCCATGTTCCAAAGGGCGAGATCAGAAGAGGCACCATCTCCAGCACTCTCACACCTGTCTATGAAAAGTGATCAGTCAATGGATCGCCCAATTGCGTTCAACAATGAAACCCCTAGTTATATTAGGTAGGATAAGTATGAGAGTATGCATAAGGCAAAAATTTTAGTTGTAAAACTGTTCTTGTCTTGCAGAATTTGTATGTCTCTTGCACATTGTTGAATTTCAATTTTGACATCTTGACAGTCTAAGACCAGATAAGGCACCGTCTCCTGCAACCTCAAACTTCTCTTTAAAAAGCAACAACTTAATGGATCGACCAATAGCGTTCAAAGACAGAACACAGCCTTACAGTGTTAAATGGTATGAGAATTTATGCTTTTTTTAATATCTTTTGTTTTCTGTAAAAGATTCTGAGCATTTTATTTTGTCATTGTGATATTTGTGTATAACCTAAATTGGTACTCTGACAGTCTGAGACAAGATAAAGCACCATCTCCAGCACCCTCACTCCTGTCTGTTAAAAGTGATCAGTCAATGGATCGGCCAGTTGCATTCAACAATGAAAACCCTAGTTACATTGGGTATGAAAAGTATGAGAATTTACTGTTTTGTTTTTTTGTTTTTGTTTTTTCAAATGGTGTGCTTGTTGCATAATTAAAAAAATATATGTATTAGATAATTATTAGACAGAGTACTATAATTTCCTTGTATATTTTGTATGTCTCTTGTACATTGTATAACTCAAAGTTTCTGTCTCGTCCTGACAGTTGTAGACCAGATGAGGCACCATCTCCTGCGACCTCGTACTTCTCTTTAAAAAGCAACCAATCAATGGATCGACCAATTGCATTCAAAGACGGAACTCAACCTTACAGTGTTAAACGGTATGAAAATTGACATTCTTTTTTGGCATATACTGTATATTTAATCGAATAACTATGCTTGCATAAATTTCCCACGTTTCCTTACAGTATATCAGGCCAGATTGGGACACAATTTCAGGCCGAGAGTCTCACATTTGAGAACCCAGAACAAATTTTAAAAGCACCTACTGTTCTGTTGTACACTTAATTTACATCCATTTTAAGAATAATTCAACAAATGTTGAGAAAGTGATACCATTGTTCTCTTTGTGTGTATTTCTAACTTTTAAATTAATATTAGGTGGCTTTCACACTGGGCTTGTTTGCTGTGGTTCGAACCCGAGTGCGATTGTTCCCGGCACCCCCGCAGTGTTGGTCTGGTTTCACACTCTCTTGATTCTATCGAACCCCGGTGCATTTGCGGTGATCTTACGTCATCACAAACGTGCACAACGTATGATAGAAAACAGAACGTGGGTCAATATATTGTGTTTTTTAATTAATTTGGTGCTATTATTTTTTAACGACATATGGGTTTACTCGTCACTTGTAGACACATGTATATTTTGAGTAGACAGCGGATTACCATTCATTTGCCACTCTAATTGCAGTTGCTACATGCAAATACACTGCAGGCTCACTCTCGCTCGAATCCAAAGTAAATCAGTACCACTATCATCACTTATGTGTGTTTTATTGAAGAAAATACATCGGCTAAAACGCATGCGCAGGTTACTTTACTTCCTGAACAAGTGCGCACCCGAGTCCGTGTTGCTTTCATATTTACGCGAACCGTGCCATAGTTCGAGTGCAATCGAACTCAGACCACCTCCTTCAGGTAGTCTGGGGTGCGCACCCGCATTCGCATGACAGCTTTCACACTAGCCAAACGTACCGAACTCTGACATCAATCGAACCCGGGTGCGCACCAAACATGCTAGTGTGAAAGTGCCCTTAAACCCAGCTCCCTTCCCTCGGTCCTATGAGGAAAGGAAAGAGAGAGTGAGACGCACAGAGCTAAAATCTATTAAGAAGTGAGGTCACTTCCTCTCCATCTTTGCTGTGTGCATTGTCGTCTTTGTTCAATATTACAGAAGTTGTTCTGATTTATAAGTTGTACGGATTTATTTTTAATTAACCAATGCCAGATTCTGAAATAATTTGCCCTTGTTTTGTATTTCATTGTGAAATTTGTTCTTAACCTCATTCACAGTCTGAGACCAAATGAAACACCATCTCCAGCACCCTCACTCCTGTCTATAAAAAGTGATCAGTCAATGGATCGGCCAATTGCGTTCATCAAAGGAACCCCTAGTTACACTGGGTATGAAAAGTATGAGAATTTACTGTTTTAAATGGTGTGCTTGTTACATAATAAAGAAAAATAATAATAATTTGACATAAAGCTATCTTTTTTTTTTGCATACTTTGTATGTCTTTTGTACACTGTCAAACTTACATTTTCTGTCTCTTTTTGACAGTCTAAGACCAGATGAGGCACCATCTCCTGCAACCTCATACTTCTCTTTAAAAAGCAACAATTCAATGGATCGACCGATTGCGTTCAAAGACAGAACTCAACCTTACAGTGTTAAAAAGTACAAAAAAAAAGTTTGATTGGATATATATGTGCTTGGACACATGCTTTTGATAACACTGTGTTTGTACATTTGAGGTCCTATTAACAAATCAAACAACTATGCTTGCATAGTTCATCCAAATCTCTTTTCAGTATATTAAAGTCATGTTTTCTATGTAATTCTGAAAAAGCAAATGGGAAAGGATGACTTTTTCTGAAAGATGTATGTTTCTTTCTTTCACCCTCACAGTCTGAGACCAGATGAGTCACCATCTCCAGCATTATCATTCCTGTCTGTAAAAAGTGAGCAGTCGATGGACAGACCGATCGCATTCAGGGATGAAGCACAGAGTTACAGGCTCAGAAGGTACGGGATTGCATTAAGTATTTATTAAATAATAAAGTTACATTATGTTAATCCTTAAAAACTAAAGATTTTCTGAAGAAGAAGAATTACAGTTATCACTTTTACAAGCTAAATTGTTGATACAATTTAATTTAATTTTAATCATAGTTCTTTTAAAAAGACCAAAAATCTTCTAAACATAGGCACCAATACAGTGGGCCTGTCCAAATACCCACACTTGCGGTCTTGGCCACTTGAGAGTGCATGCACACTAGGGGTGTGCAATATATATTGTCTACGATAATATCATAATTGTTGTTTTAACAATATGCGATTTGCATTAACGAGTATATCACGAAAACCAAACATAAACCAGAGAGTGCACGCATACACTTTGATGTAGGTTAGACTACTGCACTTGCACATTTAAAGTTGACACTTTCACTGCATGATTTAGTCTATTAAAATGCATTAAGAATTAACTCAAAATGCAAGATATGTGAGCAAAAATGCCCCCATATGACTTTGTCTTTTATATTTATATAATCTGATATAGTTAATCAGTATCAAACGAAGAGTGCCATTTTTTTCTCTAAATATCAGCACGATTTCATACAACAGTTCAACAAACAAGAAGTTAATATTAGTTGACTTACATTTTAGATACAACAGCTACTTTTTTTGCTCTATTTCTCCAATGAAAATAGTTGAATTTATTGAATTTAGGGTTAGAATGTAAGAATTAGTCACAAAAGATAATGCATACATTTTGGCCTTACAAATTAGCCTTATAAATGTAAAAATGCCCATAAAAGGTAAAAAACAATTTAAACGGATTGGAAAAGGTAATTTCTGTTACTGCTGCAAACTAACCACCACACACCAAGAATATCAAATCTCCAATGAAAATAGTTGAATTTATTGAATTTAGGGTTAGAATGTAAGAATTAGACACAAAAGATAATGCATACATTTTGGCCTTACAAATTAGCCTTATAAATGTAAAAATGCCCATAAAAGGTAAAAAAACAATTTAAACGGATTGGAAAAGGTAATTTCTGTTACTGCTGCAAACTAACCACCACACACCAAGAATATCAATAACAACTTCTGAAGAAACATCACCTGCTGCTGATATTCAAAAACTAGCTTTACAATACATGTCCACATGCTCTGAGAGCATCAGAGCGTTTTTTTAACGCGCTGAATGAATGTGATTGCCCAGGCAATTTTCTGCACTCTTGTGAAAGCTTGCATTATAGTCAACATAGTGTACACATGGTGCAAATACTTAAAAATAGATAAAATAAAGAGATTTTTTTTTGTTCATTGATTATAACAGTGTTAACAAGAGTAATGTGTTTTAGATATTTTCAGTTGACCTCTGAGTTTTATTGACTTTTAGATTTTACCTATACAACTTGTAAATAAACTTGTAGTTTAGTTTTACGTAAGTTGATTTGCTTAGAATGTTTTGTAAATTAGCTTGAACTACTGATTCTGCTTTGTCTAGGCTACTGTATTAATACAAGACAGTAAGGACACCAAGGAGATCAAAGAGCTTGATGTTGCATTCATTGATGAGGTAAAAGAAGAGATCAGAAAGCTGACAACAACATTTTCTGAGTTGTTGTAGCCTCATACAGCAATCACTTGTTTTTCTGACAATATTTGCATATTTTCTTTGTTTTGGTTTAGATTTCAAGGGATGAAAAAATTGAATATTCTCATCCAACTAAGTGCTTCTACAGTGGGTTTTCCACTAATGGTATGTTATGATACTCCTCTTACCAGCTTATTTACAGCAGTTCACAGAAATATCACAAATGGATTATTTTAGCAGCAACTTGACTAAGCTACCTTGATATTTGACATCCTTTCAGTTAATAAATAGAAATATCTTGTATTTGAGTAACTGGGTTAAAGCATCTCCTAAATGAGTATATGTAAATAGTATAAATTGAAATCAAATATGTTACAAGATGACAATGCACACAATCTTAGCCCAACTTAATGAGCTCTCCTCAGGTTAATTATTTTTTACAGTATTTATGAATTGCTTCTTATGTGGCACTTGAATGACTCCACAATTAGGAAATTACAGAAAACATTATATATTTTGAAAGTTTATATCTGTTATTTGTTTGAATTTTTATACAGTAGGTACAAGCAAAATGCTTATCACAGCTGCATGTACCTCTGCCTCAAGGCCACGGGTTCAAATAAAACCTAAGTGAAGCTCGTTCGTGAAATCACCACTAGGTGGCGCAAAGGGACGGTTGACACCACTGCTCAATAACACTGGAATTGACATTTTCACTTGTAAATAAAGATAAACAATAATGAAATAAATCAGTGGTAATTTTACAATTATATGCTAATAAAGCATTATAACATTGAATCTCAAATTATTCATAATAGCCTGAATGTTCCAGCTATTTGACCACCGTTACATTAAAATATTGCAGTGATGGCAGTGCTTGAAGTGTGCTTACTTTTTACTGTACAGCACCAGCCAGTATTAACTTTCAATGTTTAGATTCTACATTTAAAGAAGTGTGCATTATGCCATAAAAATACATTTTGGCTCTATTGTCGCATTAATGTCACAAATGAAAGGTTTGAAACTTACATTTAATAACTCGCTGATGCATTTCAGCAGGTCAAGTATACTTATGCGTTAGCTGTCCTTTTTTTTGTTTTTATACAGAGCCCATGACATGCCGAACATTTTCCATGAATTAAGAAATGTATCACTTTTTTTATAATTCATTCCTTTGTATTAATTAAAACGTCTTTAAATAATAATTAAACCATGTTTTTTAATAGTAATAATAATACTGATATTAATACTAGCCTAATAATAATATGACTTATAGGCTACATTCACTCATTTACTCTGGGAATCCGTCCAAAAAGTAAAAAATAAAAATACTAATTAGACAACACAATACAACTTAGGAATTTTGTCATTTAATGAGATATGTATTACATATTCATTTACATGTTTACAGCCTTTTGTGCAAATTTTCTTTCACTCGTGTGCAGATTTGATGCATTTCTCTAGCTTAAAACAACCCCTGATTTACAACATTTGTTTCCAAACACGGAAATCAGGTGCAGTTTAGCTTTGCAGTGTCCAAAACTGATGGTTTATATTCACAATAAGCTACAAAATACATGTACACTCTTAAAAAAAAAAAGGTGCTTCACGATGCCATAGAAGAACCTTTTTGTCTAAATGGTTCTATAAAGAACTTTTAACATCTGAAGAACCTTTCTGTTTCACAAAAGGTTCTTTGTGGCGAAAGAAGGTTCTTCAGATTATAAAAAGGTAAGAAAGAGATGGTTCTTTAAGGAACCTTTGACTGAATGGTTCTTTGTGGAACCAAAAATGGTTCTTCTATGGCATCGCTTGAAGAACCTTTTGAAGCACCTTTATTTTTAAGAGTGTAAGACTGAATCTATGAAGGGCTAATACAGTAAGACATTAATAATGAATGAGCGTGCTTTGGTTCATATTTAAGAAAAGACTAAAAAAAATCATAGTTATAACAGCGAAAATGTATTTTTGTTATATTAATCATTTTTATGTAAGGTTGAAAAAGAACACGCTGGAAAAGGGAACTTGGTTTGTCAAGTTAATCCGTAATCGAGTGGTAACTTTATTAGCGATCAATGACATGGGTTTAAATCCCGAATTGGGGTGTTTTTTAATAATAAAAATAATATATAAAATGATTAATAGAGATTTGTGTGTATTCTGTGGTTCTAAAACACACTGGTTTATGTTACACCATTTTTGTTCTTTTAGATAGAGTTTGTCCATTTTACACTGAGCACTGATGGCTGATGAGTGTTTCAAACTCACAGAGCAGGTTTAGGCAAAGTGTCTGTTTCAGGATAAATGCTTGGTTTGGTTTGGCTTTTGCAGTTGGCATGCAACATATACAGAGTTGCTTGGTTTTGTTTTGTTTCATGAGAGACATGGCGCGTTCACGAGAAAGACAGAAACTTTTGTTTTCTTCTAAAATGAGCATTTTTATCAGGCTCCTATATTTATGTTCATTTATTTCACTTTAAGGGCATAGAAAAGGACCTATACATTGCCATTAAAGTAAAATTACTGAACCTAAACATAGGAGCCTGATAAAAATGCTAATTTTAGAAGAAAATTTCAGATGGCACTTAGAGGCTTTTGCATCTAAACTCTTCATTTTAATTTTGCACTGTTTTAATTGTATGTGGCAATGCTGCAGTTCTTTTAGCAACAGCCTACAAATGTAAAAATATATTGCATTTTATTATCATTTTAGGCTACATCAAATTGCACAGGGAATAGCTACATGCAGACCTATAATAAAACTGTACAAGACTTCATGTAATAATTTTTAGTTTCAGTACTCTTCTTAAAAATATTAATTTTAATTTAAAATAATACTATTTGGTTAGGATGTTAAATTTTTTATTTTAGTTTGTCATTTGTCATTTATACAAGGAATGCAGCTTCCTCACATTATTTAATATAATAATTACAGAAATAGGCTACATTTATCTATTTATTTTATCTTTTTTTATTTGTTTGAATGTTGAAATTTGATATTTTTGTTGATACTGTTACTTGATTACTGTCAGTCATCTCAAATTTTGTTAGTGATAATTTAACGGATGGGCTACACTCCTGCATTTCATTTTTTTTTTTTATTAATCTGTTCATTCTTTTCAGTTTCATTGATTTAGCTAAACCATGGCCAGGTTTTATTTATTCGTTTCTTGTTTTCGTTAAATAATAGTTTTACTAAAACAAAGGAAAGAATTAATAAAAAAAGGCAACAATTTCTTATTTTGTGGATCTGTTTCCCACGTTCTCTGTCAAAATAAAGGACAGGTAACAAATAACAAAGTGTGCATGACAGAAATGTATGCCGTTTTATTAAAGAAATTTTAAAATATAAATTAAAAAATGTTTTTGTGACAAAAATTAAGTAATGTAAGAATATTGACATTTAAATCCATGTATTCCTACTGAACAGGCTACCACTTTTAATGCTCTGATGCAAAGTAAACCACCATTTTTTTAAATGTCCCATGGCATGAAAATTTTTAACATTAATATGAGTTCCCCTAGCCTGCCTATGGTCCCCCAGTGGCTAGAAATGGCTTCGCCTTTGAGAAAATGAAAGCTCAGATGGCCCAATCTGGAATCTTCCCTTTATGTCGTCATACGGGGAAAGGTTACCTCCCCTTTCTCTGCTTTGCCCGCCCAGAGAATTTCCTCGAGAGACATCATGGTTTGCAAACGAGCGAAGCATGGCAGTTGCCCCGCCTCTCTCCTCCTCATTAGCATTAAAGCTACAGACACAGAAATGGCACATCCTAAGCAAAGCTCATTGTGGGACTGGCTCGTAGTGGCTCAAATTCTGCACCAAGGCTGAATTTCGGAAAAGATACTTCAGATACAGTACTAGGGACCACTTAGGCCTATATAAAAGCATCTAAAAAGCAGCATGTCATGGGACCGTTAAGGTAATATAACACGTGATTCATATTATATAAATAATACTGCACACCTGTTAATTGTGTTAAATCTAAAATATGGTGTAGTACTGTGTATCTTAAATATAAGCACGCTCACAGGCTTGACATTTATCCTGCTTGAATTCGTTCTAAATAACAAAAGCACATAACTTGATAAGTACTAAATTTGCTTCTGTGAATATGAATTATTTTAAAGACCGTGTTTTTCTTAAATTTTCTGCTGACTGTAGTCGTCAAATGTAACATATTGGTGAGGCAAAGCTGACTGCTATTTGTGAAAATGCGATTCGATGCGTTCGCCTGATAACTTGTGGTTTAATAGCCACTCAGCGGTCAAAAGCTGCAAATGCATTCTGGTTGAGTATCATCTGCATATAATATATTTTGTTTTGTCTCTCATAGTTGAGGTATACCTATGATGAAAATTACAGGCCTCTCTCGTCTTTTTAAGTGGGAGAACTTGCACAATTGGTGGCTGACTAAATACTTTTTTGCCCCACTGTAACTAAGAAAGAGTGCAATACTTATTATGGTATCTTGTAATCCAGGCAAACAGATGTACTGCAATTTTTCTGCATATGTTGTGATGCAAATATATATTTTTTGTTTAACAATGTTTTTCAAGGGCTTTTCTAAATACCTGTCATCTAGATGTAATAATGTACACTTTTCCCCCAAATGATCCACAGATTTGCCTATGGATGTAACTGAGGTTGCAGCTCTTGGTCGTCCTTTGGATCTTGGAATGTTGTATGACCAGCGCAATGAATCTTTCATTTCAGGTTGGTCTAGCCTGTTCACTTACCATGACCATTAGCTTTACATGTCATTAGTAATGTAAATACACATTGTAAAACAGTATGTAATGTAAATGTAATGGAAACATGTTCATTTCCATCCTACGTATTGCACTTTTACTTGAGTGGGGAAATGATTATTTTGTCCTCTACGTAAAGCTGCAACTAATAATACTGTGTACGGTTTGAGTTTGTTAAATAAAAGTGGTATGTTGTTTGACTTTATGATTTTATAAACATTACAAAATTCCATTCTCCCTCCTCCTAGGCTGTTGTGATGTGAGTTGATTGTATGTGTAACTGAAAATATTTTTACACAAGTAAATTGAAGTAGAATGTGCTGTGTTTACAGACAGTAATCTTTGGGATAACCACACTTTAACAAGTGACAGAATATCTTGGCCCCAACTGAAAACACTTCTAAAGGTTTTGGAAGACGACTCCCTTCAGGAGAGGTGCAGAGCATTTGAAATGTCACCAATGTTGCGAGTAAGGGCTCTCTGTGGACTGATGGAGCTAAATGGAGCTGCTGCTTTTCTGAATCACCCAGTTCAGTCTCAACATCAGGACAGAGTTACAGTACACTACAAAACCACCACCAGACTGGACATGATCAGCCAAAGACTCTTACAGGAAGGAGCTCCTGCCTCAGTCATTAATGCAGCCACAGCTACACATGTGATCATCGCTGTGTTCTATGGAGCCCAGGCTTTCTTTGTTTTTGATAATGAGAGAATCAGCTCAGAGAAAAATTCAGAAATGGAAAATGTTATCAAGAAGATGACCACCACCCTTAGTGCAAGGGATGTGTTTTCAAGTCTTCATGAAAATGAAAAGGCTAACACCATTTTATATGACTGCAGTCTATACACTGATCTGGGTGACTGGAAGAGCCCAGTGTCTTTTGATAAGGCGTTAGAAATCTATGGTTCTCTCCCAACACTGCTTGGATCTAAAGATGAGAGAGCAGTTCCTCTGAAGGTCTGGCTGTACCCTCTGAAGAAACTGGACAAGAGCTCTGTGCATGTAGCTCTGAGTGGAGTCAGTGAAACCTTGATGCATCAAGCTGAGAACATTCTGGAACATCTGAGAAAACAGATCGGAATGTGTCAGGACATGATAACAGATTATGATAATCTGACAGTAATTACTTGGTTTCCTGCTTTGACGGAAAAACTTCAGAACTTTTCAGAATTTCTGCAAGATTATAGGACAGAGTTTCAGAGAAAAACTGCTAAGATTATTGAGTCAAAACACATCAATGAAGAGGAGAGAGAGAAGAGTTTACAAGAACTTATCAGTAACTGTGATCAGTCTCCATTCAGTCTAGAAAACACACAGCACTGGCTTGAGAAGAAGGAAACTGAGCTGGTAGTTTTAAATGGGTGCAGAGCAGCAAACATGACTATTGTGAAATCACAGGAGGAGCTTCAGCGTGTCATCAATGATCCTCTGATGAGCAGTGTGTTCTGCTTCACTTCATCAATGGAGGCTGAAGACTCCTTCCTCACGGTTCTCAAGCAGCACATTGAATTAATGAAAAAGAGCACATTGATCATATCTAAACGCATAAACCTAGAAGATTCACTGCAGCCACTGAAGCCTGTTTGTATCAGTGAAAAAGTACTTTCTGACCTAAAAGTATTCATTGGTGCCAAAGAGACAAATGAAGATCCAAAGCAAACCAGATTCATTGCTGCATCTGTACCTGATGACGGTTATTCAGAATTCTCTGTGCAATTTTATCATGAAGGGAGAATTGTGAGCAGAAATCTAAACCTTCAAAGAAAGACAGATCTTGCCCAGATATCTCAGATAAAACACAACAGTGTGTCCCTAAAAATTAATAAAAAACAAAACAGAAATATTGAGAGGTATGTCATACAGTACAGAGCTTTAGGTGATGGAATGAACAACACCACATGGAAACAGATCATTTTTGATTCCAAATCTGTTAAAGAAACCTGTGTAATATCAGATCTAAAGTCAGGCAAACAGTATCAGCTGAGGTATTCAGTTATTGAGCAGGACTGTATGAGCAACTTTAGCAGAATTATTAACATTAAGACCGCATTTTCACCAATAAATGGACAACCCTTTGTGAATAAGTTGAACAGGGACACTCTCAGACTTGCCTGGTTGAAGGCTGAAACTGGAGAAGATTGTCCAGTGCTGCGGTATATGGTTGAATATAAAGAAGCAGGACTGGAGGGCTGGTCATCAGTACAAACACAAGGACCTGAGTGTGAATGCACTTTAACTCTACCTCACAACACCTGCTATAGAGTCAGGGTCTCTGCTGTCTATGGAGGAGACACCAGTAAACCCAGTGAGGAGACACCAGTACCAGTGGATGGTGAGATACATTAGATATTTAAAACAAAAAAATATTTTTTAGCGTTTGGTTTGCTTATAATACTTCGTTCCTCATACCACTGCAGTCTGGAGCATAAACCTCTCAGAGAGAAAGAGCTCCATCCTCCTAGAAGTGCTGAAACTCCAAACAGAGAAGAAACCAGTAGAGCTGATAGACTGGACAGATGAAGAGAGTGAAGTGAAGGGATTCCTCCAGTGTCTGCCCTACATCTCTGAATTAAGGTCTGTAATACTATTTAACTTTCATTTGATGTTGGATAAAAACATTGTAATTTGTTTTTAAATTATTGTGTGTAATTCTTTTTATTTGACAGTGCAATTACAAACTCTAAAATCTTTTAATGAACTTTTCCTCTCAACTAAAATAATCCATTATTCTGAATCAGTTTTCTTTGGAGCAGCAACACTAAAGAGGGTCACACACCAGATCTAGCAGGCAGATGATATGCAGTGTCTTAAAATTGAAAACCATTGTTTTCTGTGAATATACACACGCCACCGCTGCTATCTGTCATCCATCAGTGTCACCCAGATATGTTTTGGTGGGCTGTTCAAAATCACTTACTCTTATACTAGTAAAATCCCTACATAAATCACTACATACTCTTATAATAGTAATTATACTCTTTAAATCAATTCTTGTACATTTCCATGAAATTCAATCAAAAATGAAACGTTCAAACATTTTCAATGGTCAAACACAATAGATTACAAGATAAATTGTCTTTTTCTAGTTAGACAGCGTGAACAAATACTATATGTATAATAAACATCAACCTTTATAGTCTTTCAGTTTTCAGTATCATGTTTATTTCTTAGAACAGAATAAAAACCTTTCCTTATACAGTCTGTAGGAACTTGCTCCGTCATTAGCCGTTTTGCTGCCACTAGTTGATTCAAACGCCAGTCTGTCCCCACGGCTAGATAAACCTCAGCTGCACACATGTGCACTTTCTGGACCAGTTGTTCTTCCACTTGTATAATATTGTCTGTTACCATAGTGATTAAATTCTGACAGTTATTTTACGCTTTGAACTCATACACAAGACTTTGTGCTTGTAACTGAGCAGTGATAAAAACCACTGTCACGTCTGTAAACTAAAGCATTTGTCTGTTACCATAGTGATTAAATTCTGACAGTTATTTTACGCTTTGAACTCATATACAAGACTTTGTGCTTGTAACTGAGCAGTGATAAAAACAACTGTCACGTCTGTAAACTAAAGCATTCATACATTTCACAAAGAAACATTTATATCTGTAAACTCTTATGACCATAGCTTTTGGATTTAAACCATTACAAAAGAGAATAATGCAAGAGTGATTTTTAATTTAATTTTAATTTAATTGATTTTTTTGAACTAGTCTCTTTGTGTCCGGATTTTTAATTCTTAAAGTTTCATTTGTCAAATGAATTTTGTAAATCTATTTCATACCGTGCAACTTTTGAAAGAACACCACACGGCTGGAGCTTTAATACTAGGACAGGATGAGTTTTTGTTTGTTTAAATTGAGGGATGCTGTACATTTAGATTGCATTATCACGAAGGTAAACACAATAGAGTGATCTGGACACGACACGCAGCTTCACACCACAAACCATATAGGATGAAATGCTCTTCTGTCACCTGCTGATCTTATTTTGTATTAGTTTATATCTGACTAAACTCTTTTACCAAATCATTGTCATTTGATCATTTTCACAATAGAGTGCAACAGTGTATGTCCTCTTTTCAGTGGCCTTGGTTCCGTAAGTATTTTTCCCATTCATTTGTCACATAGGGATTATTAAAAAGACATTGTTAAAGAATTGTAAGCCATGAACCAAAGCCAACCAGCTCTAAGGTGAAACACAACATTGCAAACTTTTATTTGAAACAAAAACGTATTTAAAAACATACAAAAAGACAAGCATGTTTTTAAAGTGCAGGACAAAGGTAAAAGAAAATTAAAACTGTACAATGTCTTTAAAGGGGTCATATGATGCGATTTCAATTTTTCCTTTCACTTTGGAGTATTACAAACTCTTGGTGCATAAAGAAGATCTGTAAAGTTGCAAAAACTAAAGTCTCAAATCCAAAGAGATATTCTTTATAAAAGTTAAGAGTCAACCACTCCTACCTAAAACAGCTCGTTCTAACACGCCCCCACATGTCTACGTCACTATGTGGGAAGATTTGCATAACGCCGCCCAAATGTTCATGCAAAGAAAGAAGGCGTAACTTTTATTCTCGCTGTAGTATTGTTGTTGCCGCTGCCGCTATGTCTTGAAGGCGTTGTGTGTTTCGTTGTGAAAGCGAAACTACTTTGTTTGGTCTTCCAAAAGAGGACGATATCTGCTTCATCATGCCTAGAGCTGATCCGGGCTGGTTGCTGAAGGAATACATCAACTTAGTGCTGTGGATCGCCGGATCGGCTTTCACCGTGGACGAAGTCCAGTCCGGGGTCGTCACGTGGTTGCCGCTCCTTCGTCGAATCCGCCGGCCACGGCGTTTTCAACCCCGCCACCTCTGCTCACTCTAGCCCGACCTCAGCTCACGCTAAGCCGCAGCTTCCGCTTATGCTAGGCCGCCGTGTTTTTCGTTGTGAAAGCGAAACTACTTTGTTTGGTCTTCCAAAAGAGGACCCGACTACAAATCAGTGGTTAAGTTGTATTTACAACACTGTTCCAGAACACTGCAACCCAAATATTCAGATGTGTGCAGCACATTTTATGGAGGACTGTTTACTGATCCTGGTAGAGTAGACTACAATGCCGGCTGTTCTGACTCACAGACTGTAAGTACGTTTTCATTTAAAGGATTTGACACTGATGATTCAGACGCAAGTTTTTGGCAGTGTAGAGTAGCACTTGTTGTTTGTCATTTCTCCGATCACAAATGCAGACATGGTTTTATGTTTACGCGGCGCGATGCAACGCAACGCGTAAAAAGACATTATAAGTCATTATAATCAGTAATTATGTCCCCACTGGATGCAACAAATGCCTCGTTTGTAATGTTTTCATGTTTTTGTCTCGTTGCTCCGGCTGGGACACGGCATCAACAGTATGGTGAGGGGCGTAACATTTCCGTCACACGCTTGAGGTATTCGGCCAATCACAATGCACTGGATAGCTGGCCAATCACAGCACACCTCGCTTTTCAGACCGATGAGCTTTGTAAAAATCGACGTGTTTCAGAAAGGCGGGGCATAGAGGAGAAACGATAATGTACAGTATGTGGAAAATAATGTTTTTTTTTACTTTAAACCGCATAAACACATTTCATTACACCAAATACACAAAATAATGTTCTTTTTAGCCACAGCATATGACCCTTTTAATGAAGGAATCAACTACAAACCTACAAAGCATTGCAGACAAAAAAAAATCTGATTTTAAGTTGTTGATTCTGAGTATACAAATGATGCAATTTGAAATTATTAAAAAAACACAGATGTATACGAGTAGTTTACAAGTGTAGGAAGACACATAATCATTACATCATTCACAGTGCTTTATGGGAGGAGCCATTTTGTGATTCTGTGATTCATGGATATTTGTCTGCAGGGTCATGAGTACTGTAGTTCACCAGAAACTGCCTGTTAAGAATGAATTTTCAAAAATTAAGTTTAATTTAGTTCATGGTTGATCTGTCTTTACTTCCGGGGCCCAACTGTTGCAAAATAAAATGTATAACACTAACACATCTCTAACAGAATCTTGTTCACTCTTTAGATTTGCTGTACCACACAACAAAACAGCTGGATCATGGGACAAAAGAAAGAGATTTTTCATACTGGATTTGTGTCTGCAAGCTGCTCTCAATCAGAAAGAGACAATAGAAGAAAATGTGAAGAAACTGCTATCATCTGTGGATTATGAGAAATGTGATTTCCTGCTGGATCTGTGTTCACATGTGAAGGACTATGAGACTCAAACAGGCAGGAGTGT